GTAAGTGCAAAGGCGCGGAACCCGGCCCTCATCTCGGCCCGTGACTTCCCCACTCCCGTTATCTCCTCTCGGGACCCTTTCATACGGGATATGGATAAAAGAGAGGCCAAAATGACCGTTTTAAGGAGGACTCCGGAGGTCTCCCGCAGACCCGTTTCCCACTCACGAACTGCCCTCTGCCGGGGCCATTGGCCAGGCGCCGCAGCTGGGAGATGCACACAGTTCTGAGTAGTGTCGTTGGGAAGAGCAGCAAAGTGGATCTGTCATCCTTTAGGAGAGGAGGTGGCAAGTGGGGGCTGCTTGGAGAGAAAACCGGGACTCCAATTTCGAACGTGCTCAGTTTGAACGGTCTATCAGGCCCCAAAATATCTTTATCACGTAGGCAGTTCCACATATGAATGAACGTTGGGAGACGGTTCTTGGTTTGGAGGTGTAAACATGAGTTTTAAGCTTACATTCTTATTTTAAGTTACACTAGATAAGATCATCAAAGGAATAAGTATAGATGGAGAAAGGAATCAACATAGGATCAACCCAGAACCAGCCCAACATTGTGACAAATGGAATAATCCCAGAATGGGCTCTTGGCCTAGCCTGGACTTGTATCAAGGGAGCAAGAGTGACTCCATCTTGACCCATATACAAATCTCTGCAGAACCTCCCTCTCAGGTTTTGCAAACGAAGATATGCTGGTAGATTATTCTCATATTTTCTAGGAAACAGCTGCACCCAAGAACAGTTTGTGGTCTGCAGATTCCCAGAAGATGCCCCTCAACCCACCTCCTCACTCATATTCTGTACTTTTTCATTACCTTGATCTAACCAACCCAGGTATCAACCAATGAAGATGAGTTTAGCGTACCACGGCTGCCTGCGGTTTTTGCCTTGGAAACCTGTGGCTTCATGCCTCAGCGGGGCTGTCTTTCTTACCCTGTAGGATTCACCGCCTCCCCAACTTGCTTGTATTCTCAATAAATCTCTCTTTAATTTGAATCTTTCAGAGTCTGAATTTTACTCTTAGACAACTGTTTGGGAACAAGAAACCAACAAAGTCATGTTAAGAGTTGTAGCAATCACCCCAGAGGTGTATTATGGAAAGAACTGTCATCATCATTGAAGGTTAAGGATTTTGTTTTGTTTTTCTAACTAAATGGCCCTGGTTTTTTGAGTCCTAGCTAGAGAAGGATTGCAGCACCAGATGCACACAGAAATGAAAATCCAGACCTGTCAACAGAATGACAGTCTCTGGATGAATTGCTGGCAGAGGTTTACCATTTTTCCTTTTTCCTCTTAATCTGAACCTAGCTTCTCCTACAAATACTACCCCTAAACTATCCCATTGCTTCCACCTTGAAGACTTTTCTCTGCAGTCCAATCCAATTTCACAACTTAAAGGTCCCACCAGTGCTAACCCTGGAGCCTTCTTCCAGTTCTTCTTTCACACTCTGGGAAGTGAAAGTTTCAGGACCACAATAAAGGTGATTTTCTGTAGGCTGAGATAGATACACATTGCCAAATTTCTTCTTGTCCAGCAGACACCCAATTTCAAAGTCATCAATTCTTAAGCACCAGCTGACAGGAAAGGAATAAGACAGCCCCTTTTCTGGAGGCAGGGAGCGGGAGAGTCAGCGATCCTGAGTGTCCATCTTCCTCTTCACTCTATGCTCCCACTGACACGTTAACCCTTCACAAGGGCCCAGCCCCGCTGAGTACAATAGCTCGCTACTACCCCTTTGTTTCCTCTTTTTCATCGCTTCTTGGTTGATATTCCCTTCCTCTTCCAGGTACAAAGACAGTGACACATGGTCGGAATGATGGGCTTGTTTTGGTCCTCATCAGCTGCTGAAGTCCTAACCCCTGGTACCTATAAAACCAGACCTTGTTTCAACACTGGGTCTTTGAAAATGTTATACAATGAAGTAATTCCCAAATCCCCTGACTAGACATCACCAAGGGACTAAGTCAATGGTGGTAATTGTGACATCCACACATACTTGCATGTACATATCCTGGTTTAGCTATAAAATTTCTCATTTTAAAAAATTTATATTTTTATTATTTTAAATGACACTTTATTGTGTTTTTGGTGATGGTTTACACAGCAGTTTAGATTCCTATTAAATTTCTACAAAATTATTCAGTGACATTGGTTACACTCTTCATAATGCATGAACATTCTCATTTTTGTTCTGTCTCCATAAATCTAGTTTCCCTGCCCCTTATATTCTCATCTTTGTTTTAAAGCAATTGTTGACTGTTTGGTCCCATACAGGTGAATTTTTAAAGGAGCACAATACTTACTTACTTACTTACTTAATGTCTTATTTTGTAAGCCAAACTGTTAGTTTCAGTTCAAGGTTTGAAGAGTATCTCAGGGCAATAGTCTTGGGAAATCCTCAAGTCTCAACTAGTCTAGTAGGTCTTTTTTTTTTTTTTTTAGGAACTTGAGGTTCTGTTCCACATTTTTCTCCCATTCTATCAGGGTCCATCTATTGTGGCCCTGATTAGAAGAGTCTGTAGTGGTATCTAGGCACTATCTAGTTCTTACAGTCTCAAGGTAGACAAGGCTGTGGTTTGTGTAGACTACTAGCCCTGTAGACTAGTTCTTTGAGTCTTTCATTTCCTTCTCTTTTGCTCCAGATGAACAGAGACCAATAGTTGTATATTAGATGGCCAATAACAAGCTTTTAAGACCCCAGACACTACTCACCAAGCTAGGATGCAGAACATTACTTTATGAACTATATTATACCAATTGACTGAGAAGTTCCATGAGACTACGGTCCTAATCCTCCAAATACAGAAATCAAATCCCACGAAGTGTTTGGTTATGTCTAAGAAGTATCCATTACTGTACCTCCTATGTGTTTTACTATATATACATGAATACATGTGCATACAGTTACATAAATGCATATACAAATGCATACAACTGTATATAAACCAAAACAAACCAAACCCGTTGCCGTCGAGTCAATTCTGACACACAGTGTGGCCCTATAGGACAGAATAGAACTGCCTCACAGGGTTTCCAAGGAGCAGCTGGTGGATTTGAACTGCTGACTTCTTGATTAGCAGTGTGAGCTCTTAACCACTGTGGGCCCCTACCTGTATACAGACACATATATTTTCACATATACACATCTAACACATATATGCCTCCACACATGCATATATACCCGCACATATACTTTCTGGTTGTTTTTGCTTTTGTTCCGAATTACATATACCATAACAACTACTAAGAGGTCCTTTTTTCTCGTGTACATTTTTGTGACATCATTTACCTTTCTCATGCTGTGTATACTTCAATCCCACTCGGTGTTCCCTTTCCCATCACCAAAAATAACAAGTATCTACTATCTAGAGAGTGAATCCCTGCCCCACTCCCCATGCCTGATAACCACTAATGAACATTAATTTCTGTATACATATATCTTTTCTCAAACAATTGACTGTAGATGTTTGGATTTATATCTGGGCTTTTAATTCTGTTCCATTGGTCTATGTGTCTATCATTAAACCAGTACTAGTCTGATTACTGCAGCTGTATGTTCTGAAGTTAGGAAGTGTGAGGCGTCCTACTTTGTTCTTCTTCAAAATTGCTTTGGCTATTTGGGGTATCTTGTCTTTCCATATAAAACTGAGAATTAGTGTTTCCACTTCTATATCCAATCATATTAAAGCAAGTGTTGACACAATCTTTTATAAGATAAAAAAATAAGATTCCTTCTCCATGTTTCTTCTGAGTTCATCATGATCCTTTAACTTAATTTAGCTATTTTGTCTTAGCTGTAATTCAATTCCTAGAAAACTGTCGAGGTAGACTTGGGAAAATATATCTACAGAAGATTAAAGAAGCTGAGGAATCTCAGTGAGAAAAAAGAATTAGGACACACCTGGGAAGGTCACACAACTCCACTCTCATCTACTTGCCATAGGAGGCAAAAAAGAAAACAATAAATCGGGACTAAAAAAAGTATGAAGGTTGAGAAATTGGGACTACATGAAGAAACAATTAGATTTCTTAAAATATGCCCATTTGTATGTATATCCTTAGCATTTAAAAAAAAAAACTATTTTATAACTTAAGCCTTCATTTATTCCATAAAGAATTATGTACCTCAAGGGTAGGACAATGCTGAAGAACAGGCTTTCAACAAATTATTTCAGACTTGCACTCTACTGACAAACTCCAACAGCACTGGATAGCAGCAAATGTACAACAAGGACGAAGCCCTTTGGTCTCTGAAACTACACTCCCTTATCTTCAAATAAGGAACGAATAACAATTTGTAATAAGCTTGGCTGGGAACTCTGCAAAAAAAACTGCTGTTTCCATTTCTTTTCTGTGTCTTCTCTGTCTTCTCATTCTTGGTTTAAATATTCCTGAGATAACAATACAGAGGAAAACTAATAAAGACGTGGCTGAATGTTTTCCTAAGTGAACAGTGACAACTATGTCTCTCTCCTGGATGAATTTTCAGATGTACAGTCAGACTCTATGTGGGTCAATTTCTAATATGACCCTTGGATGGCAATGATCTGTGACAGAATGCTTCCTCACAGGAATGACATTTGTGAGCTTTCCCTTTGGCATGAATGATCAGATGCTAAGATGGATCCTGTGACCAAAGATTTTCTTCAGTGATTACGTTTAAAAAATCCATTCCCAGTAGAAGACCCTGAATGTTGACAGAGGCTTCCCACTTGTGAAAGATCTTCCCACATCTGTCACACTGATAGGGCTTCTCCCAGTATGAATTCTCTGGCGCTGAGTGAGGCGTGCCTTGAACACCTTTCCACACTCACTGCACTCATAAGCTTCTCTCCAGTGTGGATGCTATAGTGTCAAAATAAGGTTGGCCAATCACAAAAGGCTTCCCCACACTTCTTCCTCAAAGGGTTTTTCTCCTCTGTGGTTCCTCTTATGCCGGACTAAAGTGGACGGGTGGGCGAAGGTCTTTCCACATTCACTGGACTCACAGGGCATCCCCCACTGTGTGACTCCGCTGGTGCTTTATAAGGTGTGCCTTCTGGCTGAAGGCCTTCCCACACTCTGTGCACTCATAGGGCTTCTCCCCAGTGTGAATCCGCTGGTGCTGTGTAAGTTGGGACCTACAGCTGAAGGCCTTTGCACACTCAATGCATTCATAGGGCTTCTCCCCAGTGTGAATCCGCTGGTGTCGTGTAAGTTGGGACCTACGGCTGAAGGCCTTTGCACACTCGATGCACTCATAGGGCTTCTTCCCAGTGTGAATCCGCTGGTGCTGTGCAAGTTGTAACCTGTGGCTGAAGACTTTCCCACACTCAATACACTCATAGGGCTTCTCCCCAGTATGAAACTGCTGGTGCCGTGTAAGGTGTGATCTGAAGCTGAAGGCCTTCCCACACTGTGTGCACTCATAGGGCTTTTCCCCAGTGTGAATCCGCTGGTGTTGTGTCAGTTGGAACCTACAGCTGAAGGCCTTTGCACACTCGATGCACTCATAGGGCTTCTCCCCAGTGTGAATCCGCTGGTGTCGTTTAAGTTGGGATCTACGGCTGAAGGCCTTTGCACACTCAACGCACTCATAGGGCTTCTCCCCAGTGTGAATCCGCTGGTGCTGTGCAAGTTGTGACCTGTGGGTGAAGGCCTTCCCACACTCTGTGCACTCATAGGGCTTCTCCCCAGTGTGAATTCGCTGGTGCTCTGCAAGTTTTGACCTGTGGCTGAAGTCCTTCCCACACTCTTTGCATTCATAAGGCTTCTGCCCTGTGTGAATCCGCTGGTGCTGTGTAAGTTGGGACCTGTGGCTGAAGGCTTTCCCACACTCTGTGCACTCATAGGGCTTCTCCCCAGTGTGAATCCGCTGGTGCTCTGTAAGTTTTGACTTGTGGCTGAAGGCCTTCCCACACTCTGTGCATGCATAGGGCTTCTCCCCAGTGTGAAACTGCTGGTGCCGTGCAAGGCGTGACCTGAAGCTAAAGGACTTCCCACACTCTGTGCACTCATAAGGCTTCTCCCCAATGTGGACCTTGATGTGCTGAATGAGGTTTGTGCTCTTGCTAAAAGTTTTCCCACACTCTGTGCACTCATAGAGCTTCACTCCAGAATGAATCCGCTCATGTTGAGTGAGAAGTCTTTTGTTAAACACTTTCCCGCATTCCTTGAATACATAGGGATTTCTCTTTTCATGAGTCATGGCATCTTTAGCAGGTCTATGTGAGTCACTGTCACGGACAGCATCTCCTGGAGAGACTTGCTCCTGCAGAATCCTTGAACACGCACCATCATCTGTCCCCAAACCATCATGTTCAGGGCTCATTTTCCCAGGGAGCTGCCCCTCCTGGGGGTCTATCCCTGGTCTCAAATGTTGGTCCTGCATTTCCAGTGGACCCTCCTGACCCCTGTATCGTCCCAGCTGGCAGTCTTTGGAGACTACCTGTGTCAGTCGTCCCTGGTCTGAGGCTCCCTCAGACAACGCCAGCTCAGGAGTGGTTGGCTCTGTGGACTCAAGTTTTGCTTTGCCCCCTGAAAGACATCAAACATACAAAAAGTCCTATTAGTAACAACAACACAGAACAAACAAAATCACCACTTCAGTGAGAACATAAAGATGGAAATAGTGCTTCTGTGCCTGATGTGTTTTGACATCTCTGAAACCCAGGTTTGCCAGTTCTTTCTTTGCCTCTTTACCAGCTTGGAATGGAGACCAGGGGAGAGGATGAACCCTCCTCACATTCCAGACCAGGGAAGTGGGTGGACACCATGGTAATGACACCGTGTATGGTGAGTCTGTTCTCAGCGAGGGCATCTCATAGTCTTATGGGAGCAGCTCAGATGGAAAAAGGAAGATTTCAGGGAACTCTTCCCAGAAGAGGTGTCCCACAAGCTGAGTCCTGAGAGGGACAAGTTGCCAGACAGAGTGGGAAGGGCACTGCAGCTTTAGGAGACAGAATGTACAAAGGCAGAGTCTTCAGAGAACACAGATGTAAAGTTTGAGTAGTGACGGAAGTCCTCTAACTTTAGGAGGAAAAAAAATCACCATCATCAGCCCAAAGATGATCCCTATGAAGTGGAGGTCAGACATACCTCACTCTCCAAACTTATCACCTATTCTGGCACCAGCTGTCCTCCCCACGACACTCTCTACTTCTCTTCTACATTTGGTAATTCATTGTAATGGCCACACAGAACTCACAGACCATATGTAATGGGATAGTGGTAGCATTGGACCTCGTCTAACTTGAGATAGAATGAGAATCAGCACCACCATCAGCCCAAATCTGATTCCTATGAGGTGGAGATCAGACATATCTCCCCTATCCAACCTTTTTACCAGTTCTGACGCCAGCTGACCACCCCACAGCACTCTCTACTTCTCTGCTGGGTTTGATAATTCTTTGCAATGGCCACAGAGAACTCCCAAACAATATTCACAGTTATATGGTTTATTAGGGAAGTATTAGTGAGATCAGGATTAACCTGAAAGTAACAGGAACAGGATCAACGTTAGGAAGCACACAGGCAAGGTCTAGAAGGCTACCCCAAAGTGAAGAGCACATCCTTCCTTCCTTTAGTGTAGGCAGCTCGCTCTCTCTCTCTAAGCCAGCTGTGCAGACTTCCTGTAGGCACCCTGAGGACAGGTTCCTTTCAGCTCCCGTTCAGGCCTGGCCTCAGCCCCTGCTTGAGCCTGACCTCCTCTGCCACTGTTCAGGCCTGACCTCCACCCTGCTTAGGCAAGTGTAACACCTTTTTAGCTCCACCAACAAATGTCCATAGGCACCCTACTCCGTTAACAAACCCCCTACCTGAAGGTGCTCAGCTCTCTTGCTCTATGGGTTGGCAAGTCCCTTTGGCTCAACCAACAACTGCGCAAAGTCACCCCATTCCACCAGCAAGCCTCCTGCCCGAAGGCACTCAGCTCTCTCTCTCCATGGGCCAGGAAGTCCACCACGCTGTCTCACACTGGTCTCCTGGTTCTGCTGCCACCCTCCCAGTGTTACAACTTTCTCTGTCTCCTGCGTCTAGGAAGTTCTCAGTGCAGGAACCCCGGGTGCAAAGGACATGCTCCACTCCAGGCTATTCTTGGTGATAGTGAGGTCCCCTTCAACCTCTGTGGGATGGGTGCTTATACAGGCAAGTGGCTGAATTCTACTGGGTGGATTTTACGTACCCTATCTGCATAACTGACCAACCTCCTCTCTAGATTAAACTGACCAATTCCCTCTCAAATGGCTCCATCTGTTTGCATAATAACTGACATTTTCTAACAGCACGGACTAGCTTCTCCCCTGGGTAACTGTAACAACTCCTCAGGGCCAAGGGGGAAAAAAATCTCCCAAGCTGTTTCCTTTTTCTCTCTTTTTCACACAGCTAAGGCAAAAGGATACATAAAGAAACTCATTTTACTACACCATATTTACCGTTAAACATTGAAGGCAATATTATCCCAGTTGAGAACAACTGGCTTAGAATAATATAATAGGGTGATGGGAGAAAGGGAACATCACAGAGGAGGGCTTACATTAGATCTTGTGATCAGAAAACAGCTAGGTGAGAGGTAGTACTGTGCTGAGAAGCTCCAGCACTTCAGTACTTCACACAGAAAGTGCTGGGCTGTGTGAAATGCTGAAATGCCTGAGAGCATGCAGCAGGCAGTGAGGCCCCAAGTGGACGTGCACTTTTCCCACTTGGGGAAACTGCAGGAACCCAGCATGGCCAGAGCAGAATGAGCTTGGGAGAAACAGTGTGAAATGTAATTAAGGAGGTAGATAAAGATGGAGAAGTTTTTGTTTAAAAACTTCTTTATAAAATATGTTATTGATCTTTTCCAGCCTTGTTTTAACTCTTCTCATTGAAAAAGAACATAAATCCATTTCTTTAGAAATAGGCATGTCTTACCCTAAGCCGAGTTTCGAGAAATGCCCAGAGGGGTGGGGCCAAGATGGCAGAATGTCAGATGCTTCCTGTGGTCCCTCTTACAACAGAGACCAGAAAAAACAAGTGGATTGATTATATATGACAATCTAGGAGCCCTAATCATCAAAGACAAAGTTAAGGAGTCAGACTGAGCGGCAAGGGGAGGGAGAGGCAGTTTAGAAACAGCGAAGAAGTGCCAGTCGTGAGGTAACTGGCAACCTGCGGGCTAGGTCAGCCGGTGCATGCTGGCTGAGGTGAGCAGCAGCACGTAGGACTCGTTTCACCACGTTAGGAGAGACCAGGAGGCGGAGAGTCTGTACAAGCCTCCGGAGCCAGGGGGAAGCAGCGCTGGACCTGCAAAAGTTAAGTGCAAGTGTCTAACCTACTCCATGGAATCAAAATAACCCCTCCCCCTCAGGGACTTTCACAAAGGAGAAGTGCCACTTTCTCTTTACCCAACTCCCCTCCCTGCTCCGCTCTGACACCAGTCCAGCAGTATTCAACAATTGCCATGCCCCCTAAGTTGGAACTAAGGTCTACCTGCTCCAAAACAAGTCTCAAAATAAACCACCAAGCTCCCTAAGCTGGGACCTCAGGACTATTCGTGCCCAAACCAGTCTCGCAGCTTCAAAAAATCGCCATACTCCCTAAGCCGGGAACTCAGGGCAGGCACTACCCCTTTGCCTAGGCACTGGCAAAAGGGGTCCATGGACTTCTAATGCCCTTCACCGCTGCCTAAATTTCTGTGGGCTGATTCAACACTGTGGGCCCTCATTAATGCCAAGACCCTAAGCCAGAAAGTCAGGACTATCTGTGCCCAAACCAGACTCGTGGATTTAAAAAATCACCACACCCCCGTAAGCTGGGAACTCAGAGCAGGCACTGCCCCTTTGCCTAGGCACTGGCATAAGAGGTCCATGGACTTCTAACGTGCTTCACCCATGTCTAGAGCTATGTTGGCTAATTCAACAGCATAGGCCCTCATTAGCATAGAACAACAGGGCATATACCTGAAGCCTATTTTCAACTGCAGCAGCCATGGGGGAGTTGCAGATTTGTGACATCTGACACCGCCTTGCCCATTAAGAAGGGGCCTCACCCACCCACAATGGGGCCTGAGGACTAGCACTATCACCCATTCGATTTAGCCACCCACAATGGGTTTGAGAAAAAGTGCTGCCTCCCAGTCCTTACAGGCAATATCATTAGGTGCCCAAAGTCCAGCTGCAAAACCTACCCGCCTACGTGCTGTAGGGGACAGGGACAAGCCTTCCACCCAGGCACTCAGGGGAAGCCATCAGCCCCTTGCCTTGCTCAGCACACAGCCCCCTACTGCAGCCAGATACCTGTTCCTGCTCCAAACATCCCTACACAGCTCTGCCCATATGGACTGTAGGTGAGAGTCTGCACCACACACTCAGTGACCAACGACCTGGACACCTGAGCTGCATCCACACAAGAAAAGTGAACAGACTCTTAGGCTCATACACCTAGCAGCTGCTCTAACCACCTGGTGACAAGATATGAGAGCTTCAAAGATGTCAATAACCAAAACGGCTCACACGCCCAGCTTACTTGGGCATATCAAAACAAAACAAAAACCTGGGACACAGTAAGCAAACATACAGTAAATAACCATTATAACTTACTGATGGCTCAGAGACAACGGTCAATATCAAATCACATAAAGAAGCACTTCAAGATGACTCCAGAAAGCGACCAAACCAAAGCACCAGGAAACCTTCTGGAGGAAGAGAAATTCTTGAAATTACTGGAGTTAGAATTCAAAGAATTAATATACAGAGCTCTTCAGGAGATCAGGCAAAACTCAGACCAAGCCAAGGAATACATAGACAAAGCAACAGAGGAACTCAAGAAAACAATACAAGAACAGAACAACAAATTTAACAGGCTGCTAGGAACCATAGAGAGACAACAAATAAAAATCGAAAAGATTAACAAGAAAATTTCAGAATTAGACAACTCAATAGAAAGTCGCAGGAGCAGAATTGAGACCATGGAAGTCAGATTTAGTGAGACTGAAGATAAATTCCTTGACACCAATTTATCTGGGGAAAAATCAGATAAAAGAATTTTAAAAAATGAGGAAAACTCTAAGAATTATGTGAGACACTATCAAGAAGAAAAACCTATGAATGATTGGAGTATAAGAACAGGAGGGACAACAGAAAATACAGAGAGGATTATTGAATATTTGCTGGCAGAAACTTCTCTGATATCGTGAAAGATGAGAAGATACCTATCCAAGAAGCTCATCGAATCCCACACAGGGTAGATCCCAAAAGAAACTCACCAAGACATATAATCAAACTTGCCAAAACCAAAGATAAAGAGAGCATCTTAAGAGTGGCTAGGGATAAATGAAAAGTCATCTACAAAGCAGAGTTAATAAGACTAAGCTCTGACTACTCAGCAGAAACCATGCAGGCAACAAAGCAATGGGATGACATATATAAAGCCATGAAGGAAAAAAACTACCAGCCAAGAATTGTACAACCAGCAAAACTGTCTGTCAAATATGATGGCAAAATTAGGGGATTTCCAGATAAACAGAAGTTAAGGGAATCTGTAAAAACCAAAACTAAATT